GAAATCATACAATGGCTTTCAGTAGGTCCCTATAAAATTTGTTTTATTTCTTCCCAAAATTTTCAGTTTTATTTTGTACCCCAAATTCTACATTTTCCATTTAAATTTTTCTGGATTATATTTTAATGGTCTAATTACATTTTACTAATCAAATGAATTCAACAGAACTTTAAGTTTAATAATTTATTAAAATTGTAAAATTGCCCTATGAAATGTTTTATAAAATAAACTGAAATAAAATTAAATATAAATATATAAAAAGTAAAAAAATATAAAAAGTAAACTTTTTTCAGCTCAACTTTATAAATGTCACTACTGTCACTTTTGATCAATGTGTCCTTGCTGAATAAAAGTACTAATTCCTTGATGCCCCTTTAAATTTCTTTGACCCCAAATTTTTGAACGGTAGCGTATATTACTTATAGATATTACTTTTATATACAGTGACGTCATTTGAGGAAGATTTCACCTAAAAATTACAATTCTGTCATTATTTACTCAGTGAAATAAAAATAAAAAAATTCTGAAGACATATTGTCATAGTCATTCATCATGGTTGTCAAGAAATGAAAAAGAACAAAACATAACAATAGTCTACATAACTTGTGTTTTATATTTCAAGTCTTCTGAAATCATACAATGGCTTCCAGTAGGTCCCTATAAAATTTGTTTTATTTCTTCCCAAAATTTTCAGTTTTATTTTGTACCCCAAATTCTACATTTTCCATTTAAATTTTTCTGGATTATGTTTTAATGGTCTAATTACATTTTACTAATCAAATGAATTCAACAGAACTTTAAGTTTAATAATTTATTAAAATTGTAAAATTGCCCTATGAAATGTTTTATAAAATAAACTGAAATAAAATTAAATATAAATATATAAAAAGTAAAAAAATATAAAAAGTAAACTTTTTTCAGCTCATTTTCATTTAGTTTAACTTGAAGTACTAAAATAACTAAAACTAAAATGAATAAAAACAGAAAACTTCACAAAATGACAAAAACACAACAAGATCACTACAACTTTAACTAAAATTAAAGTGAAAACAGAAAATATAAAAATAAAATCTAATTTAAAATATAAACAAAAACTACAAAATAACTAAAATAGCACTGGTATAAATAGCATATAACACTATTTACACAGTGCAAAGAATTGTATTTTATTCATTCTTTATATATTTAGCTATGTACACATGTAAATAGCATCTAATAGCAACTGCCTTCAGATTTTTTATTTTTATTTGTTTTTATTTTTATTTTTTGGGGTGAACTATTCCTTTAAGAAATCCTTGGAATTTCCCCTTGGAAAACAGGATTAAACATTTGCCTCCTTTATCTGTTTATTATGAGTCAGCAAATGTGATTTAATTTGTTTATTTAACCTAGAAATAGGAAACAATGTTTTTTTATTTTGAAGATTTAGTGGACGGACATTATTTTATACAGATTACAGAGTACATTACACAAACAAACAAAAGCCAATGTCAACACACTCCCAAATATTCTCGCTGTTCTTCACAGAAACTAGTTCAGCACAACTCAACTAACCACAATTTAACAAAGATAACTCTAAAGTCACATTTACCATTATTTGGCACATCACAGGCGAAAATCCAGTCATTTCCATAGGAATCTACTCGATTGGGAATTTTGCGTGAAAGCGAAAGATTTCCCCCACACAGACATCGCAACAGGTTCAAGTTGGTCATGCAATTTTGCTGTTGACCAACAGAGACCTGCTTACTTTGAAAGTGACTTTGTTCGAGTGGTGCTTTATACATCACTACACTATTGACAAAATACTTTTTTTGAGCACAAAATTTCACGGATTTCACTAATGTGGCCGTACAACTGCTCTGTGTCTTCTTCTTATGAGTGTGTTTTCATAGCGTTTCTTCCTCCAGCGCTACTCTTCCCTTTCAGTTCTTCCCGTCCTTGTTGTTCATATGTGGTTGCCCACTTGAAAAACCTTGGTTACGAGGCAGGATTTGACCTCTGACCCCGTGCCCTGCTCAACCCTTGGGTGAGATGAGGGTGCAAGACCACAGTGAGGCTGCGCTGAAGCTGGGAGATGCTCATCAGGTGGCCACAACACAAGCCCTGCTCCAACCCGGTGCTCTGGGCCTCGTAACCGCTAGTGTGCAGCCTGCCCATCTGCCCTGTTATTATGGCCATAGAGCTAGTGTCTCTTAAAATACACATCACGGCACATGATGCTTTTGGGGTATTCATTACATTATACATCTATATCCCTAACAACTGTCAAACACATAGAGGCACACCACAGTCAATAGATGGGACTGTCCCATTACAATTTAGTCCCAGGCCCCATTAATTTTACCATTCCCTAAAAATACTTCATAGCAGACTCATTACAGTATATATGAGCCAGGGTAAAAACAGTTTTACTACATGGTGGGTGAATCGAAAATCGGAATCAGCCATGAAACTACACAACTAGTTTTAATTTTTTAAAGAAATGAATACTTTATTCACCAAGGATGCATGAAATTGTAAACTGAAAACAAAAGAAGCAGCACAACTGTTTTCAGTTAATAATAACAATAAATGTTTTTTGAGCAGCAAATCAGCATATTAGAATGATTTCTGACTCATTCATGTGACTGGAGTAATGATGCTGAAAATTCAGCCTTGAAATCACAGATAATGCTGAAAATTCAGCTTTGCATCAAAGGAATAAATTACATTTTAAAATATATTAAAATAGAAAGCATTATTTTAAATTGTAAAACAAAATGCAAAATGTTACTGTTTTTACTGTTTGTTTGTTTTTTGACCAAATAAATTCAAAATTTCCAAAAACATAAAAAACAATCTTGCAGACCACAAATATTTCAACAGTAGTGTATATTTCCTGTTACTGTTATTTAGATTTTTTGACAATTTGATTATTAGGCTGCTTTTTGCTCATATAATTATATATATATATATATATATATATACGTTCAGATCACATGACCAGCCAAAATCCAAGGCGGCTGTCATATTGGCTAAAGCAACAAACAAAAAAATCACAATCAGTTCACCATACAGAGTGCAACCACTGGTGAAATACATTTCCATTAAAGTAAAAATTGTTAGAAGATATACTGGTCGCAATACAAGTACTTATTAACTAAAGTCAGTTTTCTTTCTTTTTTAAACCATGTATTATACTGCAATTCCTAATAAAGTAAATGGTAAACTGGCATTCTATTTACTCACCACAACCCATGTTTATTCACATTTGGCACTTGGTGAATGTCAGTTTTTAGATTATAAATGGATATTTCCAGTCCTGGGTGGGTGCTGATTGGTCCACAAGTGTTTCAGCAGTGTTAATATTAAATGGTATAGTAGCAGGTTAAACTTCTCCTCAGCATTAAACGCTAGAATCAGACAGTCTAGTAAGCCCACATGGCTAAATGTTTCCACCCCCAGGGTCATGGCAAAATGCTATTCAAATAATTTTTGGAAAAGTACTTTATAATACAAATCTTTATTTTAACTGACTTTCTATTTATGCAATAAAGTGAATGTGGTCTGGTTTACATTAAGGACAGTTAAGTATAATTTACAACAAAAGAAAACATAATGCTTTAATTGCTGTTTTGTTTTTTCTTGCACTGATTAATGAAATTGGATGAGCTCAGTTTCAATTCATTTTATTCGCTAATTGTTATTTTTATGAATTTAAATGTATGCAAAGGATTATGTGTGACTGGAGAATGCCAAAAATGTGCTTGGTGCACCATTCAAAATAAGCTAAAAGAAAAACACGAAGCAAATAGCTGTGTTCCAAGGATCCTTCAAATTGTGGCCAAAATTTAACATACCGTCCAATCAAAAATAAGGCAGTGTTATTATTTTTAACTAAAACTAAATTGTTTACATCAACTGAAATAGTTGAAGTACTAGAATTACAAAAACTGAAATTAAAAAAATAAATGAAAGCTAAATAGAAAATATAAAAAAAACTAATAAAAATGACAAAAGCACAAAATTACTAAAACTTAAACTAAAAATTAAATAGATGACATACTAGAATTACTAAGACTGAAATACAAATAAATGAAAGCTGAATAGAAATATAAAAAAAACTAATAAAAAGCACAAAATTACTAACCTTTGAGTCAAAAATAAAAGCTAATTCAAATATTAATAAATACCGTAATAGTATATAAATAATATTAAAATAACACTGAAAGTAAAAAATGAAACAAAAAATAACATTCCAAGCCCATTACACAAACATAACAGGAAATGTCATAATATATACACTCTTAAAAATAAAGGTGCTTAAAAGGTTCTTCACAGCGATGCCATAGAAGAACCATTTTTGGTTCCACAAAGAAGCATTCAGTCAAAGGTTCTTTAAAGAACCATCTCTTTCTTACCTTTTTATAATCTGAAGAACCTTCTTTCACCACAAAGAACATTTTGTGAAACAGAAATGTTCTTCAGATGTTAAAGGTTCTTAATGGAACCATTTAGACTAAAAAGGTTCTTCTATGGCATCGTGAAGCACCTTTATTTTTAAGAGTGTAATGTTAAAATAACACTGAAATTAAAAATGTAAATATAAAACAGCATTCCAAGCCCACTAAATGAATGTAACATGATGCATTTTTGAGTAAAACTAAATATTCAATGAGTAACATAGGTAGGGCTATGTGACGTGATGTGACTGCAGCAGTTATTACATTCTGATGGAAGATTAGAAAGACAAAAAAAAATGTTCTTTGGAAAACTGACTATGTACAGAGGAATGCTGCAAGATAAGACTAGGAACATGTATTATGTAAACAGGGTCCACGCCAACTCAATATATGCTTTGCATGTAAAATGGGCTTTCATACAAAATAACAAATCTCTCTTCTTTGACGAGCCAAAAAAAGCAGCAAGATTATATTTAGAGCTCATACCATGTCAATAAATCTTTCATTAAGTGTTATTATATCATGTAGTGGCTATTGCAGGAGGGCTGGACTCACCCCGGGCTGCAGGAGGTCAGTAGAGCTGACTGAAAGAGTTTCCTCTGTCGAATGAGCCTCAGCAGTGGTGCTTTCCCTGAGATCACTGGGGCCTCCAGAGGGACAGTTCATAATCATGTACTCCGCATCCTCTACTAAACATAAAACACATACAATCATCATTTATTTACACAAAAAGGAACCCTAAAACCCAAAGGAAAGCTACAAACTGCAGAATGGAGAGTTTAGCCATTCATAACAGAGATTTACATATTAAAGTCTTAAAGATATAGCAGTAAAGATGGTAAAGATGATCTTTTTCATATGTAAGGGTTATATGAGAGCAGTGGTCTTTGAAATGAACATCTGTCCCTCTCAACCGCTCTGTGACCCTGCACTGACTCTCTTTATCCTGTAAATGCTCTCAGTTCAGCTCAGTGTCTACAGCTGCAGGTGGATCTCAGACAGTTATGAAAAAGCATATAAAACATGATGGCTGTGTCGGGGCTGTGCTGCAGCGGTAGTTCACAGATGGGATGTTTGACAAAAGTGCACTCTTTGTATGGTGGAATTTAATTACCATTAAAGATCACTGTTAAATACCACCTAGAAATGAAACAAGTCGCCTAAAAACTCTACTGTTAAAAGGAACTAAATATGCATTAACTAAAAAACAAGTGCAGTAGCAATGAATCATTTTAATCAACAAACATTTCAACATTACATATATCCACTACCTTTCAGATGTTAGGTGTAATTTTAATATATATATTTTGTATTTATTACTTTGAATACTTTTTAAACGCTTTTATTCAGCGACTAAATTGATTTAAACTGATAGATTAAATTGAAGTGACAGTAAAGACATTTATGTGGTAGAAGATTCCTGTTTCAAACAAACGCTGTTCTTTTGAACTTTTTATTCATCAAAGAATCCTGAAAAAATGATTCACAGTTTCCACAAAAATATTAAGCAGAGCCATTGTTTTCAGCATTGATAATAAACAAAAAAACATCAGTATATTAGAATAATTTCTGAAGGATCATGTGACACTGAAGATTGGAGTAATGATGCTGAAAATTCAGCATTACATCACAGGAATAAATGATATTTCAATATTTATGAAAATAGAAAACAGTTATTTTAAATTGTAATAATATTTCATAATATTACAGGTTTTTTTACTGGATTTTTGATCTAATAAATGGTGAGCAAACTTCAAAAACATTAAAAAATCTCACCAACCCTACCTTTTCAACAGTAGTGCATATTTGCATATACAATTTACAAATTTACTTCATATAGTCAAGTGGTTACCTGGTGCATCCTTATTGTCCTGCAGTTTATTTAGCAGCTCTGAGATGGATTTTTTCTGGGCCTGAGCGATATAACTGAGATTCTCACTGTCCAGAACCAGCAAGAACGCCTGCAGGTCTGAAACCAGCCGAGCCAGCACTGCAAAATCACAGAAAAAAAAATCATTATGTATCAATACACACAAATCATTTTCACATCCTTTTGAAATTCAGTTAGACGAAGGCATGATGAAAAGTTTCCAAAACCGATTTCAATTTATTTAACAAAAAGCAGAAAGTTGAAATCTGCCCTAAAAGTGCTGTAGTTGAAGAAACATCCAAATATGTCCAAATGCACATGAAGGGGAAATAGCTGTGTTATGAAGTTATGAATATATCTAAATCCAGAATGAACGAACATGAATGCAGTCAAAAACTATGCAGCCTGACTTACCTGTAATAGCTACAGCTCTGTTTACAGGAGCGATCTGTGTTCAATTTATTAAACCACAAAAGTAAACAGCCGTGCTGATTGAATTAGGTGAGATTTTCAATCATTCTTTCAAGACGCTGATATTGTGACCGAAGCGGAGGACTCCTAAACTGCTGATTTATTTACTCTCTCAGCTATATAAGTGTGCTGCTCCATGCTGCTTTGCATTATTTATACTAAAGTGACTTTATAACAAGGTTAGAGTGCATTCCTGCAGCCGAAGCCATTCATCACATTAGACTCGTATCCACACAAACATCAACACATGCACCTCTAACACACACGCTGAGGCTGTACCTTTACTGCGCACTTCAAGAGTCATTTTAATATTGAATCAAATGCATTTCTACCATCCAGAATGGCTGGAATTGTAACCAACGCCTACAGATCTTCGATCCTGCTGTGATATTTGGTGACTTGAGGAGGAAAAGAGGCCTCTACCTGTTTTATAATGGTTTAAAGTGAGGCCTGCTCTGTCTTGCCCTTATTATGTTGGCTACAGACAACCAGGCCACTGTTTGAGCCCTTACCACAGTAAACACACAGAGACTCCACACACTGTGTATATTACACAGACACACATCAGTGGGCCTTTGTGCTGCAGTCAATCCTCTCTCACTCTTTCTCACACATCATCTGACACTCTCTCCCAGCCTGCTTCTCGAAGTCCATGCTGTTCGCTCAGACGAGCAGCACTATTATTATTGCTCATACTCAGAGACGGGCAGGATTTTAATTAAATGTATTTACAATATGTATGTAAGTACTTGTGAGTATTTTGTAATTTGTATTTTGTTGGACAAAAAAAATCAGATTGTAATTTGTTAGGGCTGTGCAATTAATCGCATGCGATTGTCATGCGCATCTCGTCAGTAAAGCCGGTTCTGTGATTAGTAGTAAATCTCCATCACCTGCTTTCAGATGGAGCAGCATTTACTACACAGAGCCGTAGTTCACTGACAATTAGGCAATATCGCGTTCATAATCGCAGATGAATCGCATTCAATTATGAACGCGATATTGCCTAGCTTGTCAGTTAACTACGGCTCATCTTATTCTCAGATAATACAATAAGTTTCTTCACCTGTGTTGATAGTACTATCAACTATAGCCTATTAGTTTTTGGCTAGATGCAAGTTAATCATATGACATCCTGTTGGATCCATCGATGGAATCTTAATTTGCCCATAGTTGGATCCAACCGGGAAAAAAACAATGAAAGGAGCTGTTTTGGTGCTCAGTGTAAACTGGTTAAGTATGTACTGATATATATACTATCAGATATTGCTCACTGAATGTCATTACAGGAAAGAAGAAAAGAGTAATTTGTAAATAGCTGTGCTGCTCTAGAACTCTAGAGTTAGCTACTTGTTTCTATGCGCAAAATTACATTTTTAAAGGGGCTATATAAAAGCATTTTCAAGTATTAATCGCTTTTTTATTGCCAATGTGTGATCAGCATGTAACAAAACTTAAAAAAACGAGATGAAACCTGTTGACTGATTTTTATGTGAAGGACTCAGGGTGGTTTTGCCGGGAAAATCAAAAGGAAACAATCATAACGGGTAAATTAATGAACCTCATCTGTCGACATGATGTCAGTGAATCACGTTCACTCACTGTTTTGGCCGTTGCTCGCTCGCATAACTATGGAGTGTGTGCATGAGCAGTAAGTTGCTTTCTGCAGTTCACTTAACAGCCACCGGTGTCGCTAATAACAGGGGGTTCTGAATTCTACATAGGGCCCCTTTAACAGCTAAATATCAGCATTTTTAGGAGTTAATCTTCATTGTTGACAGTGAAATCGCTTGAGCCATCCTCTTGATTAGGACTAGGCAGTGTGACAGTATATACTGTTCCACAGGAATGCTTAATTTTTGACACGTTAGAGCGATTAAGAAACATGAATGAAAAATAGACATGCTTGATGGTATTCACATAAACACAGTCGGTTGTGTCTTAAGTGAATATAAGAAATTAGAAGAAATATGGATCAATATATTGGATCCATGTATGCGTCTTAAGGTGTCAGCAGCCTAACATACCTGCTGCTGTCTATATCCTTAATCGTAATCAGACAATAAGACAAAGAGAAAATAACTCACTGCTCTTTACTGAATTACTTAAGTAGCTTTAACAATGATCAATCTACATTTCATTCATAGAGTAAAGACAGTTTTATTTAGCATTTGATGATTCAATTTCTGTTATTTCTTACTAAAATGCTGTTAGACTACTGTACATGAATAACATAAAGGATCTTTATAATAATCTTTATTTCATTTATATCTTTCCTAAATTGTATTAGTCCTATTGTTTGTTATTTGCATCTTTGTGCTTATTTTACTAATAAAGATCGTATCCTCTTGAGGATAAAGATAGCGTTTTTCATTACTAAGCTTTCTGTCTGTTGAAGGTCAGTTTTGTGTGTATTCTTTAAATTAAAAGTTTTACAATATGAAGAATAAATTATTAAGCTGAAGTAAATAGACTCCATCCTGGCTAATGCTCAATAATATTTTAGTGTCTAGTGTTAGAGTTAAAGAATATATTGTTTATAAGTTGTTCAAGGAGGGGAAATCGCTTCTTTCTCTACTATGTGTGTTTCTAACTCCACTATTACTAAATGTGTTGTATCTTACTCTACTGTAATGGCACTGTCTCTTGCACTTCAAATGATTGCTTGTAAATATTGCATGTATTTTTGTATCTTCAAATTACAAATTACTTGAATTTTAATTAAATACATTTCTCAAACCAGTATTTTGTATTTTAAATAAATACATTTGATGAGAAAATATTTGTAATTTGTAACAAAATACTTTTTGATGTATTCATGCCCATCTCTGCTCATACTTAAGTTTAATGATATGAACAAACTCCCAAGTCTAGGCATTAAAGGCCAGCACATAATGTATCAAGAGACCAGACTATCAGCAAATAGAGGGTGGGGTTTTCTGACCTTTTGCACAGTTAAGTGTCACTCATATTTGCTTCAGAAAATGTAAAAACCTAGTGTTTGTATCTTGTGTACCCCACACTTTTATATAAAAATATATTTTTAAAAAATGTACTTGCAGATAATATAATGCTAATGAAATAACAGGTCACTTAAAGAGAGACACTTTCATAACTATGTTATAATACTTTTAAAAAGTACACTTATAGTGTGAAATTAAAAGTTTTACTTTAAAGTACATCATTATGTTTTAATTATCTTTTGTCGTGCTTTAATGAAGTACACTTATTTTGATGTGTTGACTAACATACTAAAGCACATGTTAAGTACTTAATTATAACTGTACAGTGTATTTCAATATTACATTTAAAAATAATACATTTCAAATTGCAACTTCCTCATTAAAAATGTGTAATTCTAAAAACTAAATATTTAAATACAACATAAAAGTTTCAATATAAATGACACTAAAGTATATTTTAGTTTACCATAAATGCTTGTTAGTACATTCAGCAGTACACTTTAACCATATTTCAAAGACAGTAGAAGTAATTTTGAAATTACATATAAAGATGTACTTAAGTCTTAATTAAGTTGGTCCAAAAAGCATGTTCAACTAACTGCATTTACTATAAATTAAAACTATAATAATTTTTTTATTTAATTGCAGTTAACATGCAATTACTGTAAGTGTCTGAAAACATTACATTCAGTTCACACTTAAGTTTATTCTTCCCATAATAAGTACTCTAGTAAAGTGAACTTCTTTTTAACATTCTTCAGATTAATGCAATTTTATTTTATTTTTTTTTTGGAAAAAGATTGTTAAATCATAATGTCAGACATTACTAGTCTGTCATAATATGTAAATACAATCTCTCTTTGGTGACCATTACACAGGCCAGCTGTTGTGATAGAGCTTAATGAACCTTTGAAAAGATCTCTGTAGGGAACCACATAAAGACCTGCATGATGCTTCGGAAACACACGGGTACTGTTTTCACTACTAGTTTAAAAATTGTTTTCAGTCCTTATCTGTTAGCGCTTTTGCTAAGATAGCAAACTAATCAGATAACGTTATGCTAATGCAGCAAGTTAATCGGCTATCAGTAAAGCAAGTCGGCGGAAATCGTGGAGGGTTTCCGCAGGGCCAGAGACAGGAGAAAAGTGTAAACGTGGCTCCTTATCCGAGGCCAAGCTTTTATCATTTGCCAGCGAAAGGATCACAGGGTTCAATGGTGCAGTTTCAAAGGATGTGTCTCTTTGACTCTTCTTTATAATCAAATCTCACTGAAACCTGCAGTCAACAGAAAATCAGCAGCTTTGACTACAAAAAATTCAGTTAAAATAAGTAAAACTGTGGGTCTCATTCACTGACAATTATGTGGATTATCTCATATTTGCACACACAGAAGAACTTTACACTTAGTGAATGAGGCCAATTGTTATCATTCAGATCAAGGTTGGTCAAATAAAACACAAATGCACTGCGATACTTTTATAAACTTCTGAGCTTGAACAGAAACTGAACTTCTGGTCTGTGCAAACCACTGCTCTAGGTTCACACTGTCTTGTTTTCCCAAATAGGGTACCAGAGCTGAGCATCTCAATTGTGTCTATTCTGAACTCAGTCCCATGTCTGCAGGGTGCAGTGGTGGTTTAGGGCTCCAGCTGTGGCTTCATCTCTTGGGAGTAAACATCTGAATTC